TGTCAGGGATAAGTCAATGAAACGGTCTGTTACGGTGAGCTTTAGGCGTGTTTTGCACGGAACTGTGGGTAATCCACTAGTAACATCAATGCTGATTGGTTAATCAAATGTCTGATGTCATAGGGTCAAAGGTCGGTCTTTTGAACCCTGACATGACTTACGGATATAACTTGTCAGATCTTCATGTAGTGTAGTCCATCGAAAGTATAAAAAAATGAAACGAAATATAGATCTGTATTTTAATCAGATTGTGCCTCTACTAAATGTTAGTTTTTGAAATTTTTAATTGTAGTAGTTTAAACAAGAAACTGATTTAATTTTTGTTTAACTTACTCATTGATTTTTATTATTTGTTTGGAAAAGCTAATAAGTACCTTGATAAGCTGCAAGCTTGGTTTCCAGTTCAGCATTAATTAAATTCTGGTTTTTCAGCTTCTCTAAGTGAAGTCTACACGTTGCCTTTGCTCTGCCCTCTCGGATAGTAGCATTTCTAGCTTTCTTCTGTAGATCCTCAACTCTTGTTTCGAGATATACAATTTTATTTTTGACCATATCAAAATCCAGAGCATACGAATGATCCTAACATTTGAAAAACAGATATATTATCAGATATAATGTATGACATAGTAAAAATCACACTAAAACTACCTTAAACTTTAAAAAATATTGATGGTTGGATAAAATATATTTTCTGTCATGGACTTTATGTGGTAAGATTGGATAGAAGTAACTGAACTAATAAATTAATATTTCACATAACCTACATTGATACTTGCATTGTAAGACCTTTGACATGTCAATTTAAATACTGTGAAGTGTCGATTATTAATTTCTTAGCATTTCTAGCCCTTGCTAAAAAAAATACTGATTCACTATGTTGTATATACAGCAAATATTTCAGTGTTAAGATTTGTCTGCAAATAACCACTGCCAGAGTAATTTATAGGACCTGGGAAATGAGAAAAGCCTGTCAGATGACGATTTGGAATAAATAAAAAAATAGGATTACCTTAAACACAAGTATACTTTTCATGGCCTTTAAGCACTTAAGGTACAAATTGCACCTTAATTTTTAAGAAGGTATTCAATTAAGGAAGAGTTAAGGAAGAAACCCTCAACATTAATTAAGGAAACTTCCTGAAATCAGTACCCCAGAATTAAATTGATAAATTATGGTTGAAAATACAATGTTTACATATGAAGACCTTGTACAGTTATATGTATGGTACTGTAACCGGTTTATTATTATTAAATCTAAAGAAAGTAACGCAACATGGCCCTGCTCCCTGGTATAAATATGTAATACTGTATGAAAATTTAAGTTTTAGATATATTTCTTCGATAATGTTAAAATATACATTTACCTTCTTGTGGTACAAATTGTCTGAACTTGATATACATGTACTTATTGGTTCAAAATGTGGTTCTACATCTTCAAGTTTCGCTCTTTTTGAGTTATTGCTTTGTCGTTCACCAAAAGAAATTGTCTGAAATTAAAAAAGTGATCAAGATATATAATTGATCAAAAGAATACAAACACAAGAAAAGAATACAAAATGTGAAATCATCTTGTAGTAACAAACTTATTCTTGTCCCATATTTTTGATACTAAAAAAAAGACAAAATTGATTCAGGGTCAAAACAGAGATGAGATATTGATGAATTTAACACTGATGGCTGAATATGAATGAAAAATGGATGATAATGAATATGAAAATGAGTTCCTGGCTGGTTTCGAACCTGCATCTTCCTATAACACTGTTCAAGGATGTATTGCTATTATACTACAGAAACTTTGCAAATAACAATCAGAATCATCCCTTCGCATTGACATTTCATTCCTGTAGCCACCAAAGTTAAATGCAAACTCATTGCACAAAAAATCACATTCGTTTTTAGCTTGTTCTTTGTCCAACTCTTTCAAAATGTGGGAATCTTGCATGGCAATCGCTTATTGCAAATTACTTTATAATTCCAGCTCTTAACCGGATGTATCCCAATCTAAAACCAGCTTTGTTAATATGACTGATGTTTTGATAAGAATGAAGTATGTATAAGATATACTTACCACTGATACATGCCATAATTCAGATGAATGATAAATGTAGGCCTATCCCAACCTAAAACCAGCTTTGTTAATATGACTGATGTTTTGATAAGAATGAAGTATGTATAAGATATACTTACCACTGATACATGCCATAATTCAGATGAATGATAAATGTAGGCCTATGTATATATATGAGAATTGAATAATGGTTTATGACATGAATGATTTCGATACAGAGCTGGCCTTCTTACTACATGTATAATAGTTCGAAAATAGTGAATGCAAAATGAATATATTGAAAATTTCATTCAAATTGTTCCAAGGTTTGACACAATGTGTGCATTAATTGTTCAAAGCTTAGCCTTGCTTCACCACTTATGAATTAAATTAAAATATGGCTTCAAACTATCCTAATCCACTTAATTATCAGATATATCCTATGACATCGAGAGTTTATTATGGTCTTGTTGTGTTAATAAATGTCTAATTAAAACTTTATAAAACATTTCTGGCTTAAAAAAAGACCTGCAATAGGAAGATTTAGCTCATTGCATAATGTATATAATTATATGAAATTGTATGACATGAAATTTGATACAGACAATGAAAAATATAATATAAGCCTATTCATACATTGTAATAAATTTACTGTTTATGTGCAATGGAAAGCAAAAAGTCTATTTTCATAATTTTTTTTTTTTTTTTTGGGGGGGGGGGGTGGGCACTATTATCTCCTATAAATTATGAGTTAATAAAAGTTTGTAATTTGTTTACCTGTAAGTGTTCTGGCACATCAAAATTTGTCGGTATTGCATCACTCTTTAATCTTACGACTTGTCCAGTTCTATCCATACAGTCATTATTAAAATGAACGCTGCACAAGAGAGATCGAATCGATGGCTTTTTGTCTCGTCTTCTGCAGTTTCTCTCCCACATTAAAAATCTATTCAGCTCCTTCTGTTTATTGGGAAATCTAATTTAAAGCAAAAATGTGTTTATATTTTACCAGCCCATTGTTAATTTTAATTACGACAAACTTGTTTTGTAAGTTTCATTTCATTTAGTTAAATTTAAATTGCTAGGTTGCTTAGATTATTAAAAGTTCATTCAAGTACCATAATAAATAATATGACTTTAACATATAACCAGTAAGCTGGCCTACATCTATACTATACCTTAACTCACGAGGTACTGTAGCCTATAGTATGCTACTCACACTACTGTAGGCTAGTAATAGTATTATAATAATAGTACATGTATTAATACTAAACTTCACTAATACTCTAAAAGAATAGGCTAAATTTACAAACACAAAGGTTCTAGTCGACAACAGTCATCACTCAGTGACATTACAAATACAAGCGAATGATAGGGAGTTTCGTGGTTAGTTCGGGAAAGTAGCTTTTTTTGTACAATTTCTGAATTTGAACTAAAATTAGTAAAATTCATTCTGATTAGGCCTACTCACTCTCGTGACTCTGGCCTAAATAATAAGTGAAAGTACAACTAGGCCTACAACACTACAAGTCAACTTACATCATATTCATAGGCTGCTTTACGGGGTAACCTCTAAAAAAGATACGATTGGCTATGTTTAGTAAGCGGTAGGCCTAGACTAGGTCAACAGTGTTACATTATTATAATAATACCGTATTAAAAATAAACTATTAGTGTACGACAACACGAACACTGAACAGTAGGCCAGCCTAGAAGTAGAACACACAGTTGACACAGGACGCTGAAGTCTGAACGCTAACATTCTGGGTTCTTAAAATAATATAATCACTATTGTGAATTTCTTACCTGTGGAAGGTTATTCCATTTAATTTTGATGTAGGGTTTTGATAATTTGTACAGTTAATGGCAAAACACTGTGTCCCTTTGGTGGATACTGAAAACGTAAAAGTTTTGTTTTCCTTTCCATGATCAAACGACGCCATTTTGTTGCACAGGATCAATGTACAAGTATGGCCGACATTTGCGCATGTCGCGAAAGCGGCTTTTGATTGGCCGTGGCCATTCTAGTCTATTTATATATTTCTATGCCCATATCGTTTGGTGTATGTCACGATGTGGACGTCTATTCCGACGGTTCTCGTCTCTTCATTCCCCTGCACATGCCCAAATCAACATTTCATTCACTTTACTCTATTGTCTTTGAACATTTAAATGTATCTTGAAAGCCTTAAGTCATTCAAAATCTCCTCCACAGTGACTTTCTGACAAGAACTAATATATGGAAGTAGCGATTGTGCAAGTAAAATGAAGTATCTTATTTTCAAGTAAAAAGGACAAAAACAGATATTGAACACATTTACTATTTTAATTAAAGCAAAGTTTCGTTCTCTCAGTTTTATCAAACAAATGTACAGAAGGTTTATATACAAAACTTTCAAGTATAACCCGACCGTTTCCTGGTTCACCATGTTTCGCCATAGCATGTATATAATTATCGTTGAGGACTGCGTCCACACTGATCCGCAGTGAATATTTGCTTGGCCGCGACACTCACTGATAAGGATGACATTGATGCGGCTTAATGAGCTAGAAATATTAACTTTTTTCCTGCGACAAATTAAATTCTAAAACATTTTTTGTATATATTGGAAAAATAAATAAAGGCGTTTGACGTATTTGTAGTTAAAAATTATTTCCGATTTAGTGTAAATGGGTATTAAAATGACTAAAATGCAGCATTCTCTCCGAAGCAGTTATGTCTTATGTAAACAATGCACGCGCCATTCAGCCAATGATTCACACCGCGTGCTGTGACAGCACGTGTTAAGGCAGTCATCTATGACAGAGATAAATACGAGACTCGTAATTCTCTGTGAAACAGATTGGACTGCGTCATTCAATTTATCGATTCAAGTTCAGACTGGTTAACATAGTGACTGGTTCACCAAGACTATCTTTGTGTGATTTCTTGGAAAAGATATCTGGGTTAGTGTTAGATATTATGAAGCAGGTCGCCCTTTTGTTGTAAATTAGGCCCTTCCCACGTTTTTGAAGGTTGAGGTTGCAAGGGGCCGTTTATTGTTAGGCCTAAGTGTGATCATAGATAATACCGTATGATTGCCGACTCATGAATTCTCGACGTTATGTTGCGAAACGCGTGAAACGGCGAGAAAGGGGGTTGATCATAATACGGTATTATCTATGGTGTGATGTAACTGAATCATGTTCTTACCTACATTTAGATCATTAATTCCGATCTATAAATAGTATCATTAACACAAATGAGTGATAGTTTCGATGACGCGAAGAATCTAAGAGAGCGTCTCAATTCGTATATTGGGTGGACTTCAGCTAAATGTTATGTTGAATTATCACTGGCTGGATATAGGTGAGTAGGCTACCTATGACGTGCTATGTATGTTACTTTATTGTACACAGTGAAAAGCCCAGTTGCTGATTACAGTATTACAGAATTTTGTCTAGTGGTTTGGATTGTTCGTACTTGTTTTTATTGTTGTCATACTATGTACCTTATTATACTTGTCCTTGTTATTTTATATGGTAAGGCCTATGATATATGATACTATTTATACTGTATTTCGACATATTTTATAAATAGGTTTTTTCCCCTGGTGTAACTAGTACGCCATATGTGAAACGTAATATGAATCTTCGAGATCGTATACATTACGCTTCAGTACAATTTACACATATTTGACAAAGGTTGTTGTGAACTGGTATACGCTGATGTTAGCTGGTGCAGTATGGGAGTGTAATGTTTCCTCGACGAGATTGTACACGTCAGAACATTCAATACATCCGTGTGTTAATGTACTAATAAAACTGATAGCGTGTGTCCTTATTTGATTGTCCATGATACAACATAATATGTCATTTATTGTTAACATAATAGCTTTCAATTGGCTTTGCGTGATAAAAATAGGGCCTCCCTAATTTGCATGACGAATGACATTGCTTTCACTTTCGCACGAACGTAATAGGAAAGGGCATAACTCGTGCATAATGTTGGGGCAGACCACCATTAATTTCCCCATTGACTTCATTGTTAATTCTGGCCTCTTTGCCCACCTCCAACTTTTCCCCAAATTGTCATTGGGCTGAATGCTTTTCACTACAGACAGAGGAACAAAAGGTCATGTCTTTGCACTAAAATTTGTATGAGGTTGACCACCAAAATTTTGAGATAAACAAACTTGAAGAAGCATACTAAAAACATGTAACTAGTTGCCGTACATATCACCGTAGCCAACCTGATAACTCCGTTATCCTTCCGCCTCAAAATCATGAATATTTATCAAAACCTGGCAGAAAATGTTAATTCAAACCTTCTTCGTCCATTCTAGACCAAAAAAGCAACAAAAATGGGCATGCAAAAGGGGAGAAAGGAGACAGAGAGAGAATTGCTATAAATAGACGAGGTACCGAGATGGTGAAATTTAATGGTGGTCTGCCTCCTGTTGTGGCAATAAGACCACGTTATTTAAACTACGTCATTGTCTATTTAACAAAGAGAGAGAGAGAAATGGGGTTTAACGTCCACTCGACACAAACTAGGTCATTTCGGGACTAACATATGGTTTTTAATTTTTTATTTCAATAATTCGCTTGCGCGTAGGGGTCTTTAGCATTGGGAGGAAACCGGAGGACCCGGAGAAAACCCACGAGGTTGGACAGGCAACCCTACTCCTTGTCACGTACAACCGGTGAATCGAAACCCCGCCAGTTGACTCAATGACAGACGGTATGATACAGCGAGGGCGGGCTAACCGTTCGGCCATCCATCCACACCCCACACCCCCCTCTATTTAACGATTGAACGAATGGACCAATAGACTATATAAACAAATTATGATAATATTGCACGTGATGTTTCCATCCATTTATTGACGTAAAATGAAAATGTAAAAATTATTTAGTATAAGATGATCCAATTTCTCTAAATCTGATAGATGGGTACTCATCTGTCTTTCTCTCTTTCTTTCAGGTACACAGGACAACTAGACCGAGTCAGGTGTGATTACTGCAACAAGAAGGTGGTTCAATGGACCGTCAATGATAACGCTCTCGAGGTCCACGCCAGATTTGATTCCGATTGCATCTTTTTAAAACATATTGGATATTCTCGAAACCTCCCCATTCCTAGGTTTACACATTTCTGTAAATATTCGGACAGGATAGAATCCGTGAGAACTGTTGACGAACAATTCAGTCGTAACCTGCCTCCCCTGGAAAAAATTGCAGAAGCCGGATTCTTCTACCAGGGGACTTTAGATCGAATGGTTTGTTATCATTGTGGTTTGATTTTAAGGGATTGGGAACGCGATACAGACCCAGTAGCGACACATAAACGATTCAAATCCGAATGTTTATACATAACACGATTAAGCAACATATACGCAGGCCAAAATATACCACTTGTAAGGACGGAAGAACAACCGAGTATGGCGGTGCTCTTGCAAAACGAGAGGTCGTGTACTTCAAGTATCGGAAAATTCATTCAAGAATGTGGAGGTAATTGGCATGAACCACTGAACCACACGAACCTTCCACCAACCTGACCAACGGTGTAGATAAACACAGCAATAGATGACGTCATCCTGGACTATTGTTTTGGTGTGCAGTGAATATACCTACTTTATGTTACAGTCACCTTGCACTGATTTATCAAATAACTAGCCCTCAAATTCATTCATTAACCATTCATTAACTTCATACTCTCATTAACTTCATAGTCCCCAGGCCTGGAAATAACGGTTTTAGTTGGCCGTTTTCGTTTTTCTTTTCACTTTGTGCAGTCTCTTTTATAGACCAGTAAGATAATACACTAAATAAGCTATTGGACGTGTGTGTGTGGTGGTGGTGTTGGTGTGGGGGGGTATCAGGTTTATTAATATGTATATTTGTATTGATTGGTTTTTGGTGAAATGTTTTTCAAGATTAGTATTTGGAGATTTGTATTTGAAAATATTTTGTTTGAGATTTGTTTACCCATTGGAAAAACTGAGTCTATGTATAGTGTATTAATCACGAGTTATAGTCTTGTATAACTTTTCTCATGTCTAACTACTGTGAGCGAGATCAAGTACGAGAAATAATTATAATATCTTTACACTCATGACCCGATAAATATTGCGGGATTTAAGGGCCAAAACTAAATGTATGTTGAAAGTGTTATTATACATCATAGAAAATATCTAATACCTAAGATTCAAAATACATATGTCGTTATACTTATAATGATAAATACATAATACCGTTAAAGTAAAAGTCAAATATCAAATTACAAATGTTTTTTGGAAAAAATCCACTAATGTGCACAAACGTTTCACATACACACTTCAACAAAGCAACTTTGCAAAATGACATTTGTCTTTTGTGTTTTGCATCTTGAGTTCTTGAGGTCAACGGCTTAACCATTTAATCCCTATGTAGCTCACTACTCCTCTGATGTTTTCGTAACATGTATGGCTTCCCTTTTGTTTGGTTTAATGGTATGTTTACTCCTGCTTGTCTATATATAATTGCTCTACACATTTGTTACTGTACTTGCTTGAAAACGTTGAGAGAATACAGGCAATGCAACAACAACTTATAGTAAAAGCAATCAAAGACAACAACAGTCCCTGGTTAGGCCTATACATATACTGGCTAGGATTTACTACAAGGGATACTCTGCCAAGATATGCATCCAATTATTATACCCACTCGGAAAAACTCCCCCAATCATATATAGATATAAAAGAAACTTACAATAGCCTCAAATCATCCATCAAATATACATACAATACAAAACTTAAAGACATATACTGGTCCCTAATTGACTTATTACAGACACAACCAAAAATAAATAAACAATTACCTCATGTTGACTTTTCAAAAGTCTGGACAAACCTCTATAAATGCTCCTCCTTATCTGAAAAAGAAAAGGATTTCATGTATACAATCATCAATAATGCAGTACTAACAAAAGACATTATGCTATACAGAAATATATATACTATCAACTATAAATGCCACTATTGTAACCGAGCAACTGAATCTTACCATCATTTATTTCTGAATTGCCCCAAATTAAAATTCTATAAATGTTTCATTACTACACATATAAACAACATTCATCTCACCAAAGAATTCAAAATCAACAACAATACAATCCATCTACACAATATAAAATCTAAATACATTCATGATATATACCTATACCTGTCGATCATATGGTCTAACCGAACACACCCTCTATCCACCAATATTTCACAAGAGCTTATATACCAATTCTATACAAAAAGAAAACAAAAATAAAGATTACTCTCTTAAGCTCGAGTCTTCACTACCTTATGACCCTCCTTAAGCCTATGAAATATTGACTTTGCTACTATAATAAGTAGCTACAACCATAGACATCTTCTTATAATTCTTTCGTATATGAGCACTCTTTGCAATTTTTAGTAAGAATGTAGGCCTACAAGCGAAAATAACCAAACACCTGTAGGCCTACCCCATATAAATTCTGGAAAATTTTGGCTTAATTGATAAACCAATATTATACAAAAGAAAATAAAATCGAAATCACCAAGCTTCAGCCTACTCTGCCTTACCGAATTCTCCTGTATAAGGCAAGTTATCGTCCTGTATGAAGCTTCCATATTAATTACTCTACTATATGACTAAACAGACCGTGCTATTTACTTTAAGTTGTCACAATTTGACATCTTAGTCATCTTTCGTTTTCGTTAAATGGCACTATCTCACTCTGTCATATAAATAAAATACCTATACACCCACTGAAATATGTCCAACAGTAAAATAGAAATCCATTAAAAACATTTAAACACTAACTCAAGTTTTACCCGTTTGTTTTACCGCTATTTATTCACTGTAATCAACACTCACCTCTAACATTAACATGGCCATCATAACATCCCACAATTCCCGGCGCTATTGCACTTTCGTACCTCTACCAGTTCCCGTGGTCATAGGCACTTGAAATTTTCAGAGGATGTTAAGGGGGGCTAGCAATGACCACACACCAAATTTCAGCCAAATCGATAAATAACTTTTTATTTTACCGACCTTTTAATTTCTAACGAGAGAGAACTTCATCCGTTTGACGCCATTTGCTTTGTTTACTAATTAGACTTGAATAACAAGACACTAAGACGGAAACCGACTCGAATAACAAGACACTTAGACGGAAACCGACACACTGCACTAGCTGCCTAACACTGCAGTTCATAAAAACTAATATAATTTTCGTATACTTTAATTTTTGCGCGAAGCCACCATTTTCTATAAAATACTATTTGGTGTTGATCAGTGGATTGGCCTTTAGGTGTAAATATTGCCGTGACCTTGATTTTGACCTTGAGGCCAAACTTCCCATCCATATCGGGGCCTTTGCGTTTATGCTTGCCGTGGCCTTATTTCTTACTGTATTATCAACGTTAATGTTCGAGGTGAAAGCAGAGATGACGTCCTTCAGAAAAGATAATTGGGTCAAAGTCGTAGGTCAAGGTCATGTTACAGAAAACTAAACTCAAATTTTTCAAAGTCATTTTTGGGACATTTGACCTTGACTTACGACCTTGACCCCGTAACCATTTTCGAAGGTTATCACATTGGCTTGAATCATGAACGTTTAACTTGGTCCTGTCGCACACTGCTCGGTCAGAAAACGGTCAAACGCAGAGGGTCCGTGTCCGAAAGGAATTCAATGGGCGTGGTCAATGTGAAAGGTCGTGGTGACCTCCACTCGTCACCGTTAACCATCCGTAACCTTGACTCTGACCTTGAGTCCAAACGTCCCATCCATCTCGGGCCCTTTGCGTTTATGCTTGCCGTGGCCTTATTTCTAACTGTATTATCAAAGTTAATGTTCGAGGTGAAAGCAGAGACGACGTCCTTCAGAAAAGATACTTGGGTCAAAGTCGTAGGTCAAGGTCATCTTACAGAAAACTAAACTCGGACTTTTCAAAGTCAGTTTTGGGACAATTGACCTTGACTTACGACCTTGACCTCGTAACCATTTTCGAAGGCTATCACCTTGGCTTGAACCATCGACGTTTACTTTGGTCCTGTCGCACACTGTTCGGTCAGAAAAGGGTCAAACGCAAAGGGCCCGTGTCCGAAAGGAAGTCAATGGGCGTGGTCAATGTGAAAGGTCGTGGTGACCTCCACTAGTCACCTTTAATCATCCGTGACCTTGACTTTGACCTTGAGTCAAACTTCCCATCAATCTCGGGCCCTTTTCGTTTATGCTTGCCGTGACCCTATTTCTTACTGTATTATCAAAGTTAATGCTTGAGGTGAAAGCAGAGACAACGTCCTTCAGAAAAGATAAATGGGTCAAAGTCGTAGGTCAAGGTCATGTTACAGAAAACTGAACTCAAACTTTTCAAAGTCAGTTTTGGGACATTTGACCTTGACTTACGACCTTGATCCCATAACCATTTTCAAAGCCCATAATCGTGGCTTGAACCATCGACGGTTACCTTGGCCCTGTCGCACACTGCTCGGTCAGAAAACGGTCAAACGCAGAGGGGCCCGTGTCCGAAAGGAAGTCAAAGGGCGTGGTCAATGTGAAAGTTCGTGGTGACCTCCACTAGTCACCTTTAACCATCCGTGACCTTGACTTCGACCTTGAGTCCAAACTTCCCATCAATCTCGGGCCCTTTTCGTTTATGCTTGCCGTGACCCTATTTCTTACTGTATTATCAAAGTTAATGCTTGAGGTGAAAGCAAAGACAACGTCCTTCAGAAAAGATAATTGGGTCAAAGTCGTAGGTCAAGGTCATGTTATAGAAAACTGAACTCAAACTTTTCAAGGTCAGTTTTGGGACATTTGACCTTGACTTACGAGCTTGACCCGTAACCATTTTCAAAGCCCATCAACTTGGCTTGAACCATCGACGTTTACCCTGGCCCTGTCCCAAAAATGACTTTGAAAAGTTTGAGTTTAGTTTTCTGTAACATGACCTTGACCTACGACTTTGACCCAATTATCTTTTCTGAATGACGCCGTCTCTGCTTTCACCTCGAACATTAACTTTGATAATACAGTAAGAAATAAGGTCACGGCACGCATAAACGCAAAGGGCCCGAGATGGATGGGAAGTTCGGACACTAGGTCAGGGTCAAGGTCACGGATGGTTAACGGTGACTAGTGGAGGTCACCACGACCTTTCACATTGACCACGCCCATTGACTTCCTTTCGGACACGGCCCCTCTGCGTTTGACCCTTTTCTGACCGAGCAGTGTGTGACAGAACCAAGGTAAACGTCCATGATTCAAGCCAAGATGATAGCCTTCGAAAACGGTTACGGGGTCAAGGACGTAAGTCAAGGTCAAATGTTCAAAAAATGACTTTGAAAAGTTTGAGTTTAGTTTTCTGTATTATGACCTTGACCTACGACTTTGACCCAATTATCTTTTCTGAAGGACGTCGTCTCTGCTTTCACCTCGAACATTAACTTTGAAAATACAGTAAGAAATAAGGCCACGGCAATCATAAACGCAAAGGCCCTGATATGGATGGGAAGTTAAGACTCAAGGTCAAAATCAAGGTCACGGCAATATTTACACCTAAAGGCCAATCCACTGATCAACACCAAATAGTATTTTATAGAACATGGTAGCTTCGCGCAAAAATTAAAGTATACGAAAATTATATTAATTTTTATGAACTGCAGAGATAGGCAGCTAGTGCAGTGTGTCGGTTTCCGTCTTAGTGTCTTGTTATTCGAGTCTAAATAGTAAACAAAGCAAATGGCGTCAAACAGATGAAGTTCTCTCTCGTTAGAAATTAAAAGGTCAGTAAAATAAAAAGTTATTGATCGATTCGGCTGAAATTTGGTGTGTGGTCATTGCTAGTCCCCCTTAACATCCTCTACGACCACGGGAACTGGTGGAGGTACGAAAGTGCAATAGCGCCCTTCAAATATATTTTTAGCTGTATATAAGAAAGTAGCTATACACTGTATTAAATTATAAATTATCAATAAAAAAAAATTCCAGGTTTAATGCCATTTCTGCTAGGTGAGTCTCCGTCAGAATTATATACACCAAATCATCTCCTGACAGTGTACGGTTATAGAAAATGTAATTCGAACACATATGAAACAAAATGCTTAAAAATAAATAAAACACCCTTTTAGACGATAAGGGAACCCATACCTGTAACAAAAAAGACTACAAAACAATAATACAAAACGACATGATG